AAAAAAAAAAAAGGAACCGGAAAGAATGCTTAAACTTAAACTAGAGTAAATATAATAAACTCACAACTGGACGTGGCCAAGGCAGAGACGTGCGATGTTTTTGGAGTGCACTAGTTGCCATTGGGCACATGAACTGTAGCAGGCCTTTCGTGTAAAAATCGTGACTGAAACTGTGCTTAGAGGACCTGAAATTTAATAACAGCATATAAGCTTCCAATTTGGAAGATGAAGGCTTCACAGGAACTAATTTAATTTCTTAATACAAATTAAATTCACCAACCTAACCAGTTTAAGAAACTGTCTGCCTGCCTGCCATTTAACATTTCAAATGGACGCAAAGCTAATCCATAAGAAAACAGAACATAAAGCACATCTTTCCATCTCTAGTTCAGAACTCCAAAATTTAAACCGAATTACTTAAACTAGGAGAAAAGGCAGAAGAAGTCTAAGAAATGTGTATCTATTAAAGATTTTTCTAAATTCTCATATGAAAAGCATAAAATTGTGATGCCCATTTTAGTTCACACTAAGATCATATTACCTTTTCCCCATCTATCTCAATGTAGGGGATGCCACGCGTGAGAGTCCAATAGTCTCCTTCCGCCTTAAAGCGTTGTCGTTGTACATGCGGACACGCACAAATGCTTAGTCGTCCAAGTGAGGGAGGGAAGGCTTCCTTTGGCAAAGATCGTAGCTTCGGGCAGTCTTGTATACTTAAACATTGAAGGGAGCTTAGGTTTTGGAATAGCCCCCCAGGTATGCATTCCAAATTTTCTTCTTTCCAGATATAAAGAGAGGTTAAAGAAGAAGGCAGCACAATATCCAGAGGCAATTTCTGCTGAATTCCCAACGATCGAAGAGACGTAAGGTTTTGGAGGTCCATCGTCAAAACCTCACCTGAAAGTGATAGATCCTCAACTGATGTGAGCTGGTACATTGTATTCGACACACACTTGAGATTCTCACAGTTCCGTAATTGAAGATTTGTTAAGTTTGGGGGCAAACCCCCATCTAGAATGAACTCGATGCTGGGGCACCACATTATCTGTAGGTCTCGAAGAGATTTCAGCTGGTACATCGTATTTGGGAGGGATTTCAAATAATAACACCCAAAAATACCCAACGAAATAAGATTGGGGGTGCATAACCCCACCTCTTCTGGTATGGACTCTAAAACAGCACAGCAGCAAATAAATAATTCAACGAGATTGCTGACGCAATCAAGATTGGGTAAACTTTTCAATATTTTACAGCCAACAATTCTAATGGATTGGAGTCCCATACAATTCTGCAACATTCTCTCTGGAAATGATTCCAACCGCTCGCCACCATCAGTAACTGTAAATTCATTGAGAAAAGCTGGTAGCTGATGACAACTACCCTGAGAAGAATAAAAACATGGAAGATTACTTATTTCCAAATGTAGATTGTCACCATCAGCATCTGGTAAAGACTCAAGACCTTTACAATTATCTATTCTCAAGTATTTAAGCGAGCTGGGTAATTTGCCTCTTGGAAACGACTTGAGAGAATCACAACCAAAAATTTCCAACGTTTCTAGTCTCGACATCAACAAACTAGTGTTGCTGCTACTGCTTCCATCCATCCTCATCATCATTGCATCAGGTAATGACTCCAAAGCTCCACATACGTAAAGCTCAAGATGTTTAAGATTGAAAGGCAAGAGGCTTTGTTCTATTTCTGTCCCTTCCTCCCACAAACAAGTAAGATCATTGCAATCGCTGATATACAAAGTCTCAAGTGCTGTCCAGGACTGTGTAAAACTCTTAGGCAAGCAAGTCAATTCTGAAATTTGCTTAATTCTCAAGTTAGTGAGGGAAGTGAGATCAACCATGCTCTTCAAAAGCACCCCATTGCAGTCTCTAATGGACAACTCTTTCAATGATGGAAGACTCATGCTCATAGGCAAGCAAGTCAATTCTGAAATTTGCTTAATTCTCAAATAAGTAAGAGAGGGGACATCTCCCATACTCTTCAAAAGCTTCCCATTGCAACTTCTAACATCTAACTCTTTAAGTGAAGAAAGGTTGTTGGGTAATTGTCCTAACAACTTAGGACATTTTTCAATCACAAGCCTATGAAGACAAGGGAAGTCACTTGCACTTCCAGCTGGAGAAGTCCATTCCTTCCACTTTCGCATGTTTCTAAACACCAATTCAGCCAGCGACGGAAAAGTGCCATCTTGCCCATAAAACTCAGCACCTATAGCTTTTATTGAATCCATGCCTTCAATAATCAATTTTTTGAGAACAGGTAGTAGGCCAAGAGATGGTAACAAAGTGCATCTCTTGCATCCACGGAGCTCCATGGATGATAAATTGAAAAATAATGATGGATCACAAACCCAGAGAGGGAAATTCTCCCCACCATAGCAAGAAATTTTGAGACTTTTCAAATTTGAATGAGGTTTTAACCAGTTAAGGACTTCCATTTTAAGGACTAATTCATCTCGATCATTATCAGAAGTAGTCCACTCTAGATCATGATCAGAAGTAGTTTGCTCCAGATTCCGCTCCAGATCATTATCAAAAGTAGTCTGCTCCAGATCAAAATTAGAATCCAGATCATTATCAGAATTAGAATCCAGATCATTATCAAAATTAGAATCCAGATCATTATCAAAAGTAGTCCGCTCCAAATCATTATCAGAAGTAGTTTGCTCCAAATCAGAATCAGAATCCAGATCATTATCAAAAGTAGTCCGCTCTATATCAGAATCAGAAGCAGTCCACTCCATATCAGAATCAGAAGTAATCCACTCCAAGACTAACTCTTCCAAACCATGGATCTTGTCTAGGTTGGCCTCTTTAGCATCTTGAACATCCAAAACATTTTGCAAATCTAGAATAGACAGTCTTCCTCGAATTTGTGACAAGTTCTTCAGATCAGATAATCTTGTCATCATTGCACTTGCCTTCCCCACAATAAATTTGGACAATGTTACAAGATTTTTAAGATTGCCCATTCCTGATGGCATCTCTTTTAAAAATGGTGTATGAGTGATATCAAGATGATGGAGATCAATTAGATTCCCAATTGTCATAGGCAACTTACTGAGCATTCCACAATCACATAATAGTAGTGTTTGTAGGAAGAGAAGAGAACCCACTGATTCAGGTATACATTCGATACTTGTACTAGACAAATCAATGTACCGAATATGTTTCAAATTTTGAAAAGATTCTGGTAGCTCTCTTATCTGATAGTGGCGAAGAGATAGCACTCTTAAGCAATTTAATGTTGGTAGGAAATCATGCAAGATTCTTTTAGACAAATACTGCCGAGTGTTGTGGTGACCACAGAGTGGCAAGAATGTTCTCAAATGCTTCAATTTATCCAAGACTGTGAATCTCTCTGAGATTTCATAAGAGTGTGGAGTAAATGACAAATGACGAGCTTTCTCTAATTTTTCATCACCCATGCTACGTTCAAGATTGCAATATATTTTTCCAGCAACATCTACAGCTAAATCATTTATGAGGTCATGCATCACAAATCGTGATTTATTTGTATTTGATTGCTGAAAGAGTGATCTAGACAATAATTCATGGAAATATTGATGGCCAATCTCCTCTTCCACTTGCTTCTTTCCACATGACTGTTGCTGCAATAAGCCCTCAGCCATCCATAATAAAACCAGCTCCTTTTCTTTAAATTCATAGTCTTGAGAGAACAAAGCACAATAAGCAAAGCA